TTTTTGTTTGTTCATGTTTGTTTTGTGTTTGTTGTAAAAATAAAAAAAACATTATAAAAAAAAAAAAATTAGTGTTGGTATTTGCCTATTTTTACATTTCTCCCTCTTCTTATATGAGCAATCAAGATGTTCTAAGATAGAAAATATTAGAAAAGACATTTGGTTCTTTGAAAATAACAACTAAAATATCATGAACTATTAAACTCCCAGTATATTAGTAGCCAAAATATCTTATTATAAAATAAATAATTTAGACACTTTCCTCAGTTCACCATTGCCTTGAATAGGCCACATATTCTGCATTTTTATAGTCTCTACTTCAGTTTTTCTGTGTTTCCAATGTTTTTGGCAGAAATCCATTGTTATAAACGATGTCTGCTAACTGGTCATAAACTTGACGAATTCTGCAAACAGAAGGAAAATTTGCCCAGAGTCACCATTGTTTTGAAGATTACTGATCAAGATGTCACTCGGTTTGGTAATGCAAACTATCTAACTCTATGAATTGACTGTTTGCTATAGGTATTAAAGTGTTTCACAGGCCAGTTATATCTCTCACTGTAGTACCTGTACTCGTTAGTATATTTTTTTAAATCTTTCCCCACTTTATCAGCTAGAGTCATTTAAGACTGAATTGGTTTAAAACTTTTAAAAATTAATAAAAATATATGGGGCCAAATAAAATTCCCATGTGTGAACATTAGCTGTGCCTGTTGGGATTAACGGGAACAGATGTAACCTCTAGAAAGCGATGGACGCCCCATCCCCAACCTTATGATGAGCATATAGTACTAATAATAAGTGGAAAAGAATGGAACTCAATCTGTTTCTCATGCTCCTTTCATGAAAACAGCTGTACTGATCTCAGTGTCCTACCTGTATTCTATGCCTTCCAAGAGACTGCATTGTTTTGTGTTCTCTAGATATTATAAACAATGAACAGCCTTTTCAGAATCTGCTTTGGACCACAAAGCATGGGTACTGAGAAAGGGGTTTTTGGTATCCATCTGTTATTTAAAATCATTGGTGATGGGAGCAACTAATATATACAGTGGTACCTCGGGATACGAACTTAATCCATTCCGAGTTGGACGTAACCCGAAGCAAATTTTCCCATAGGGTTCAATGTAAATACGGTTAATCCGTTCCGCCCTCCGCCCGCATTTGGTCACAACCCGAGGCAATCTCCCCATCAGGTTCAATGTAAATACGGTTAATCCGTTCCGCCCTCCGCCCGCATT